GAAAAGGAAGAAAGGGCTTATGTTCTATAACTATTTAGTAACAAGTGTATCGCTAGTAGTAACAAGTGCCACGCTACTAGGAACAGGTGCCTTACTAGTAGTAACAAGAAGCTAATAGAAACAAGTGCCTTACTATTTAGGTTGGAGGCATCGCTCCAGGTTCTGAACGAGTACTGTTGGAGTACTGTCAGGAGAAAGTTGCTGTTGGCGTTGGTTAGCCCATGCGGCCCGGGAGCCTCAGCCTGCTTTGGCCAGTCCTCCTTATCCCTTGTAGCATGTAATAACTTCTTGTTACTAGTAGCAAGAATGCTCCTAGTAGTACGGCCAGGAGCCCCTAGTAGCGTCCTTGTTCCTAGGCTGTTCCAATTCCATGGAGAATCTTCGGACTGGTGAAGACTCCGTCGTGCGCCTTCATGAATTCTTGACCCGCTCGAGGTCTTGAAAGAGGCCTCCTGGTTGAAGGAAGATCTCGACACTCTCCGGAAGGAGCTGAATGCCCTTTGGTCCTAGTAGCGTCCTTGCTCCTAATCTTGGAATGTGTGATCTTCACAGGGGTTTTACTCAGGACATTGGGATCTGATCTTTGACGCATCTTTTCCAGTGAATTACCTGACGGAAAAATACCTTCGATGTGCTTGAAAGCCTGGCTTCAGATAGGTGCTTGAAAGCAAGCCATGGAGAGACCCGAGTTACAGGAGCATGCTGAGCGCCTGGAACATCAGGCCAAGGTGCCTTCCACAGCTGGTGCTCTACCAACTTGGTCTTCACAATTGGCCAAGTTTGATGTGTTCATGATGTTTTCAGGCCAAGTTTGACGATGTTTTGATGGATATCAATACAAGATCAGTGCTGCTTCATGATTCGTGAGTAGGAGATTTGTCCGCATTTGGCTCCAAATCCACTTCGGGGAGAAAAGATACAGGCGCTTTGGCACGAGTGTCTTAATTTAGCCCGTTGCCCTTACCCTTAAATAGGTTGGCACCTACTTAATTAAGGAGGTAAGCTCCTAAGTAGGACACAGAATAGCTCACGCTATTCATTTGGTTCATAGATGTATAGAAAAAGATTCAGCATCAACCCAACCGTTGCCAACCCCTTTTTGCTCCCCCAAAGAAGGTCGACTTTCGCTGACCTGTCCTCAGAGGTGGAGCATAGCACCGAAGAGCTGGCGGAGCTGCGTGGTGCTCATCGGACCTTGCAGCCTCTCTGCTTAAAGGTGATGGGTACGGCGTTTTTCGGCATTGGATTCCTCACAACGCGACTTTCGAAGCGGAGAAGCTGTTTCATGTTTTTTTTGCGTGGGGACACACTTAATTAAGTAGGCACCTATACTTAGTTAAGTAAAAGAGAAATTTGTTCCTAGCTCCTACTGGACGCAGGATAGCTTTCGCACTAATAGGGAAAACTTGACATGACAAAACTTAACTAAACGTTTGTCTGTCGAACCGGAGTAGGTTTGTATTTGCAAATAATTAGGGAAAGCTTAGGCCAAAACCCAAAGGCCTTCAGGGGTCTCCATGCCACAGATGTAGCTAAGCAGCATAGAAACCAAGGTCAGAGCTTCGCACATCACGAGATCAGTGCGACACCTTGAGGCAAAGTTTGTTTGGCAAAAATGACGCTACTAGTAACAGGTGCATCGCTAGTAGTAACAAGTGCCTTACTACTAGTAACAAGAAGCCATTAGAAAAGGGAAAAAAGTCACTATTCTTCCTATTCTTTCTCTTTGTACTTTTCGGAGAGGAACGTACAAGAATTCTTGTGTTGGAGGCCATCGCTAATAGGTTGGAGGCCATTGCTAAGTTCGTTATCTTGCTTTTCTGTTCACATGCTGTGTCACCAGTAAGTCGTTTAAGGTCTCTCTCATTTCTTCGGCTCCTTTCCTCGCTTTGCTGACTGTTCCTAGTAGCGATGCCCTTTGTTCCTACTAGTAGCATGCCAGGCAAGAGCTCCTATTGGTGAAGACACAAGTTGCTCAAAAGCTCAGCCGAGAAGAGGACAGCTTGCTGATGCCATCCCACCGCCAATGAGAATCCAACGTCGCGCGAGGGGATGGAATGAGTGACACGCCACAAACCCAGGGAGTCTCGTCTAGATACCACTTGAATTCAATGTGTTTTTGCCTTTCTAGAAAGTTCTTCCTTTCCTTTCCTTGTTTCTACTAGCGATGGCCTCCAACCCAAGAGCAAACCATATTATAGTATGTTTTTAATGCCACTTGAGGGTGATTTTGGGAGGTCAAAGGACATCCGAAGGCCTTCAGAAAGGATGCTTTGCGATTAACCAAGTGAGGAATTCGCCCAGGATCCGCATTTCCTCCCAACAAGGAAGTATGAACCTTGTCAACTTGTGTTCTCTTGCGATGGAGGCTGGCGGAAAATATTGTTTCTCCCACAGTTTTTGCTCCCATTTCAATTCTTTTCTGTGCTTGCTGTACACTCTATGCGTGTCGCCTCAATTCACTTGGTCTGACCGGACTTGCAGCCAGCATTGTTTTCAATCGGTTGGAGGCCATCGCAAGTAGGCCAGCTTGCATTGTTTTCCCGTTTCTTGCTGTAGGCTCCAGCCTCCTTTCACTTGTCCAGGTGATGCAATGTGCACGTGCCGAGGTATCTGTTTAGACGACAAATTGTTCCCGAAAGCACCCTTTTGCGGTTGAGATGTTTGTGAGAGTGGCACAAGGTGGCATCCTCCAAAACCGGCAGAGAAGACACACCGTAGCTTACATTTTTGTTCTCCTGACCCCATTCCAGAATTCACACCGACCCACCTAAACCTCCATGCCTCCCTTTTAGACTTCAGAGCCTTGGAGGACCTTCTGCAAGATGTGGCTCGACTGAAGGAGGAGAAATCCGAGGTGGACGAATGCGAGACACACGACGTTACCACGCTGTCGCACAGGAAGTACAAGCAATGAGCAGCGCTTGCCATGTTTGCATTAGGAGTGAGGATGAGTGAGGACGTAGGATGCATCATAGAATAGTATTTCAGGCCAACAATCATCCTTCTAGTGTGTTGAATTGGAAGCACATTGCATTTCGCACATGAGAATCCCTTCGTATGTACAGGTCTTTGTAAGTTCTTCACAATGATTGAAACGTGCCGGAAGGAAGACCCAGAAGTTTTCTTGATCTCGTTAGCTTTAGGACCTTTAGGGGGGCTCTTGTGCAGGGGTTTGTCTTTGAAAGTGCTCTGGCGATGGCCTCCAACCAAAGACCAAAAGTGCGATGAAGTCATAAAAAGTGCGGAATCAGCTTTTCAGGCGAGCTCGAAGGCGGAACATGCCATGTTGGGAAGCTTAATCCGGGAGTTCACTCAGGGGGCGTGCCTTCATGTGTGCTCGTGGGCTAAATGCAATGAACCACGTCGACCAACACTTGATTTATGCGATTTATGTCGACCAACACGTCACTCCCTTGCTTTTCAGATTCTAAACATGTGTAAGCATTCCTTCAATTACACTGAGGCAAAGGCAGATGGAAATCGAGCGTGAGAATTTCAAGATGCACGCTGATGCAGAGGTCGGGCAAAACCTATGGAGCTGCAGATGGGATTTGTAGCAGCACGGAGAGAGAACATGCAGGTGATCTTGAAACTCGGATAGTTCTTCCATTCTTTCATTTTTCCCGTATTTGGTTGGAGGCCATCGCCAGTAGGTTGGAGGCCATGTTAGACATCTGGAACGCCGGTTTTTTCTATCTCAGCTTGGCAAACCCTGCTTCCCCCCAAACACAGATCCACTGGTGCTCCGAGGACCTGAAACTTATTAGATTCTTTACTACTAATTGTGATTTGATTCTAATTAGATTCTAATTTATATATTGTTCCTAGTAGCGATGCACTTGTTACTAGTAGCTTATTGTTTCTAATTCCATATATTGTTTCTACTAGCAAACATTGTTCCTAGTAGTAAGGCCCTTGCTCCTAGTAGCGATGCCCTTTGCTCCTAGTAGCTTCTTGTCCACTGGTGCTCCGAGGACCTCAAACGGCAACTGCTCTTTATGGAGGACGACAAAGCTCGCTCGGAAGGTGCGACAGAGTCACCTTGAGCGAAAGAGGGGAAGGCGAAGCTAGTCCAGACGCTGAGGGCCCAGTGGCCACAAAACCAGAACAGAATGATTGGTGGGCCCTGTGGCCCCTGCACTGAATGTGTTTGAATCTATGCCAAGCAGCATCAGTCGAAGTTTGCCCAAAAAGGTTTATTGTGTGGTTTTTTTTAATAGGAACCACAATAATCCACAATATGGAATCACTCGTCCGTTGCTTCCGGAAGCTACTGCTCACTGTGAGGTAGGACCAAAAGGCAACCAGTCATTTGAGCCAGCTCAAAAGTGGTGGTTGGCTGGTGAGATGAGCTGAAAATGCAAGGGCTTACGAGATGAGTGAATTGGTGGACCAAACCAATTTTTTCGACCCATGAGAGTGCACAGATGACAGTAGTATCAATGGCCTCCAACCTACTAGCGATGGCCTCCAACCTAAGTAGTATCAACGATCCTGAATGAATCTAGGAAAATTGGACGTTTTGCAGGTCTCTTGAAGGCCCTCAAGAAGGAATGTGAGGAGATGCGGCAGGCGGGCGTTGGCAACTTGGCGATCGGTGGCTTCTCGTGCTAGGATTTGTGTGCTTTTTGGAGCATGGCTTGGGAGAGCTTTGTTCCTTTGTGCATGCAGAAGGCTTTTCTCTCCACACGAAAACTGTTTAAAGCACACCCAATCGAATGTGCAAGTGGCCAAATATTTGCAAAATGTTGCTCATGTTTGCTTATTTTTTCCTACTAGCAGCAAAAAGCTACTAGGTGGAGGCCATCGCTATTAGGTTGGAGGCCATCGCTACTAGTGCCTGAGGATTCTTGGACCCTAACCCCACCATAGTAGCGATGCCCTTTGCTCTTGGTAGCGTCCTTGCTCCTAGCAGTAAGGCCAGGAGCCCCTAGTAGCTTCTTGTTACTACTAGTAAGGCACTTGTTACTACTAGCGATGCCCTTTGCTCTTGGTAGCGTCCTTGCTCCTAGATGTTTTTTTGTTCACTCGACGTTGCGTGGCTCCTGGCTGCGCGGTCAGGCGCAAGAAGAGGCCGCCAAGCGCCGCAAGGCGAGGCAGAGCGCCAAGGCTAAAGCCAGGCCGGGAGGATGGAGGTGGTCTGTCGCAGCCATGGAAGTTCCAAGCCAACTAGTCTGTTTGGTCATTGAGTTTGATCATGGCAATCATAGCTTCATTCTTGAGCACAGGCATCCCAGCAATCTATGGTTGTTTTGTTGAAACCCAGACATTGGCTACATTCGTCGCTACTGATGCTTGAGGCAACAATGTTTTAACGATAATCTCCATGCTTCAAGGCACTGTAGTAGTAGTGTTCAATGCTCGAACAGACACTGCGCGTTGAATAGTGTTTTGTATGCCTTGTGGTGTGTTCATAATGTTGCTTCAGTGGCAGGAGTGGCAGGCGTTGAAGAGGCCATTGTGGGAGGGGACTTGGGCGGTTTGATGTTCCCGAAGCGACTTTGGAGCAATCTCAAGACTCGTGGCCATGATCGAACCATTTGTGGATGAAACGTCCCTTTCAGTTGGTATCAGGGCAACATTTTTGACCCATGCCACTAGGATCAAAGGGCATCGCTACTAGGAACAAAGGACGCTACTAGGGGCTCCTGGCCTTACTACTAGGAGCAAGGACGCTACTAGGGGCTCCTGGCATCGCTATATACTAGGAGCAAAGGACGCTACTAGGGGCTCCTGGCCCTACTAGGAGCAAGAAGCTGAGGTGCACAAACCCATTTGGAGCTCAGGGAGGAGTATCACAGCTAGCACATCCAATCCCCAGCGGTCCATGGAGGTTTCCGATGACTTTTTTTTTCAGGTCAAAAGAGCATCACTTCACCGAAGGGTTTGATGGGGTGAAGGCGTACACCGCAAAACAATTGCGCTTCCAAATAAAAAGTATTGGCTCAAATATTCGCTCACTTAGAAAGGGCATTTGCAGCATTTGGGTGAAGGCCTACCCCCGACAAATCCTTCCACAAGTGGCTATTAGGTAGGGGGGCAGAGCGGCCTTCAAAAGAGTTTGTTTAAAACACGTGTTTCAACTTCATAAAAACATGTGGAACATCGAGCAAGTGATCGCCTCGAGCATTGAGGGCTCAAGCGGCATCAGGCACCTGTGACCCAGCGGCAGTTTTCAACATTAGGTGCCTGTCAAAGTTGGGTGTGCTGAGGACTTTGCTGGTTTTGTTTGGTGAATGACAAGACCTCCGTAACAAAGTATGTTGTGATGTCGTCCTTGAATTGTACTACACCCGAAGTGTCTTCCCGTTTTGTTAGATCATCAGTCTTCTAGGGCCTGGTTAATTCTGGCTAAAGCCAGCAATCATTTCAGGTTTGACCAAGGACACGGAATGCCCAACGAAACCTCCGCTTTGACCTCCAGCTGCCCAAACAATTATCTTGCTTTTTCGAGAGAAGCTCAGAGAATAGCTCTGAGGTCAGCGATGCACGGATTTGTCACAGAATGGTGAAGCACACCCTTAAGGTAGCTGGATAGCCGGAAGGTTTTAGATTCTGAGCGCAACAACCAGGCATTAAGGCCCCATCATGAATCATGTTGTGCTTCCTGGCATCCCTTCGCGAACAGAATGTTCTTCAGAGCACAAGAAAGTGATCCTGTCTTAATTTGCTTTTTTCAACACAGCCAATGGGTTGTCGAATAGCATGACACGCTTCAGTGTCAAAGATTCCCATGAGAAACGACTGTCTACCGGGAAGGGCAAGTCAGTTCAGATACTGCTCCAGCCGGGCCTGGCGGTTTTGAATGAAAGGTGTTGATCAGGTTATTTGACACATTCACAAGTAGACAAGCATTGGCATGAGCCAGTAAGGACGCTACTAGGAGCAAAGGGCATTTCTACTAGGAACAAGAAGCTACTAGGGGCTCCTGGCCTTACTACTAGGAACAAGGACGCTACTAGGAGCACAAGGCATCGCTACTAGGAACAAGAAGCTACTAAACATAGGGGTTGTGCGGGTTGCGCTAGGAGGTGCTTGCTTGTGCTGTCCAAAGATATGATCGGAGCACCCTGACGGTTCATGAAAGAGTTCTCGCACAAACAACACTGTTTGGGATGCTCGAAAGCTCGTAGATCATGAAAATTTGTACCTTCTGACTGAGGAGAGGTGGTTGAATCCCGTTTTGTATTCTTCCAACTGTCATGACTTCCCCGTGCTGCCTGCATGTTTTGTTCATCCAAGAGCAACCAAGCGTTTGACAAATCCGTGACCGCCGCGATGAAATCGGCCACCCTGGAAAATCCGGGGAGGTATCAATCAAAGACCCTTTGATCCGCCACTGAAAGGTTCCAGCCAGCGTGGCGCTGCTTTCGCTCAACTACAGTTGAATCAGATCCCCGATCCACCATGTCAAGCCAGTTGCCCAAATCTTCGACCAGTGTGCAAGGGATGTTTTTATCGATTCTTTCAACCTAGTGGCCTTCTGTTGGGACAAATTGAGCTGGTTCTTGGGAATGTACTTCCAGCAATCGCCTTGCCACACCAACACCCTGCGGGCAGGCGGCAGGATTAAGAGATTTGCATTTCTTGGCATGAGCAGTGACGTTTAAAAGAGATCAGTGGAAGGTTTAGCTAGTAACAAGTGCCACGCTAGTAGTAACAGGTGCCTTACTAGTAGTAACAA